CAAAAGGCAAAAGGAGTCATACTTACAAACAAGAAAACTTGGTGGTGATGCACAAGCAAGGCTAGACTTCTTATCAAATAACTTTTATATCCTAAGCTTATACAATATAAATAATAGAGAGGGAAATGCAAGTGTACAATAATTGATGACTATGGTTTCAATTAATTTACGTTTTTACTTTTTCATTTAATAGGATATTAAGTGAAGTTGCTCAAAGCGCCTTTCAATTTAAATAAAATAATACCCTGACGCTTTTGGTGTGAACCCACATATATATTTCCATAATAGATTCATACCTATTAGGTAAAAAATATCAATAATTATAGAAACATATAACTATATATTGGAACAAAATCAACTAAGATTCCAATCACAAAAGTTTATAAGAATTTCTATTATATGTGGGTAATATATAATTTTGAAGAAATTTGATGGGGGAAGGGGAGGGGGGCATCTTATAATCATACATTTTATTGCACTTCAATAAATGTACCAAATGGAAATAACATTTACATAGAATAATTAACAACCTTTTTGCAAATTTTATGGAAAAGGATCATCTTAAAGACATTCCCTCTTTCTTTTCATTTTCCATGAAAAGGGCTTTGTTATAGGTTTTGGGGCTCACTACTTAGAGAATTTTAGGTTCTATCCCAAGAGATTAAGGATGATTGGAAATTAGAATTTGCAAATTAGCATGGAGTACCTACTTCATCCATCCCAATATAGCTTATACATTTGGATTTTCATTATCCTTAAGGCACGTTTTTTACTATTAAAAATTTTTAATTGAACATTATATCAACTATACAATATCAGTAATCTAAAATTACACAAAAATAAAAATCTGACAAGATCCAAATGATAAAAGTATTCTTTGTATATCAGTTCAAAAGTACAATCAAAGTACATGATTTTTGAATTTGAAAAGTTTAATAGCAACTATTTGAAATGTAGTAGTATGTGCTGTGCTAGATCCCTATATGTCACAAACTCACAATGCTCTCGTAGAGAAAGAATAAATATTCAAGGAGTATGTTATCAACAATTTCTGTTTTCGCCTGTTTCATGATGTACACTTTCACTTTATTCCGTTTTTGGCAAATCCTTTTTACTGTGATACCCCTCTTACCCAACAATATTTATTTAGACTGAAAAAGTTCAATTTAAGTTGTTTTTGTTTGTCCCAAATTTACCTCAACATTGTCTCATTCAACCTTTGTTTCATTCTACCTTCCGCTCTAGCTTAAAGCTGTCAACTATTGCTCAATCTGGTCCATTTTTAGAACCTTGTCCTAACACCCATGATCCTGTAATTTTTAGAACTAACAGATAAATAGATATAATGATGCCCCTTTAAAACCTTATGCACAAGAGATTCATATCCATGAGTAAAGACATCATATATGCACCTCTGTCTTAGTGCATTCAAAAACCGGAACTCAGACAAAAGAAATGTTAGGAAATATGAACTTAAAAAGCCAGGGTATTTCAAACCTTTTCAATCAAAGTCTTAGGCATAATCAGCTCTTAGCATACTTTCCCTCAATGAAATGTTCTTGCATAGAAGCTGTCTTTCCAGGGGATGATTTTGCCTCCCTAGCAGCAATATCATACTTCCATCACCATAACTCTGCTTCTTATGTGGACCGAGCTTGTTCATGAAGAACAGCCAGTCTTGCTTCAGCAACGCTGCCCCTAGACTCGAGAGCAGCTGCTTCTGCAGAAGCGTCATATCCTTCAGTTTTCTGCTTTGATAAGGCATCTTCAAATTTCCTTTTCCATTCAAAGGTTTTCTTGTTAGTTACATCCAATGTTTAAATAAGCTAGCACATACCTAAATTTTACTTTGTAAAACCCTGTTCTCTTCACCTTAATAAAATAATATTTAGTAAAAATAATTAAAATTTAGTAAAAATAATTTCAATTTAGTAAAATACATTTTTAACTAATAAAACTCGGTAACTTTAAAGAAGAAATATAATAGAGAATCTGTAAAAATAAGTTTTAGTTCTGTATAATTAATTTTAGTTAAGTAAAAATAATTTTAGTTCAGCAAAAATAATTACAGTTTAGCAAAAATAATTTCAGTTCAACAAAAATAAAGTGAATTGAACAGGGCCTAAGTTAAGTTAGTATCTGAGTTCATATGATAAATCTTTATATGTTTGGGACTTTTGCCTTTCACTAGCTTCTACTTTCTCGGTGAAAAGGCCAGCTTATCTTCACTGGCACTTCAATGTCAAGGCACATCGCTCCAGTCCATTCTGATCATGTTGTTTATTATTGTCAGATATTGGACCTTCCAATCTGGAAAAATTGCACACAATTAGATATAACATTATGACAGAAGAAGAAATTATCCATACTCCAAATCAAAATTTCAAAATTAACCTTTTCTGTAGGAAAACAGCCTTCCTATTTTCTTCATAGGACCATGACACGGTGCTTCATACTCGGACAAAAGATCACCTGCCAAAACAAATGCACTTTAGCTTTTTGTCCCAAATGAGCTGCCCCATCACTAACCTGCACATTATGCATGAAGCATTGGAAACTCAGAATCAATAACTTGTGCAAAATTAAGTTATTTTACATAAATCATGATAATTAAGAAAAGATCAGACTTGGCTCTGTTAATGTTGTGATTGTTGGGCCATCCAAAGTTCCAAACAATTATCTAGGAGGGGGTTGATAATTGAAGTAAACTGTGTTTCAACAATGCACATGATGCTTAGGTGTTGAGACCTCCCAACCGCCCCCCCCCCCCCAACCCCCTCCCAAAGAAAAAAGAAAAAAAATTCATACGAAGCATTTTGAGATTTTAAAATTAAGTTCCGCAAAGAAATGTGGTTCCTTTGATCAAATTTAATTATTTAAGCAATAACAATTGACATCATGGATGATGACACGAAAAAGCTGTAACATCCGGTCAAAAAATAAGTCGTACATTAAGGAACTGAAATAGCTTATAAAGAAGCATTGGAGCTATTTACAAGGACAGATGTGTAGATGAAGGAAGCAACTGAAAGAGACACTTGTGAAAAATGAAAATGTTAAATCCTCTTGTTTCCCTCTTTCCAAAATTATGCTCAAGTCCTTAACACATATATTCTTTACAAAGATGTGCATAAGTAAATTCCCTTTATCCTGAATATTTTATATGATTTATTATTGGTTAATATTTTCAACCATAGTGACTTGACTTGATTAATTATTTCATTAAGCAATCGTTACTCTATTAGTTGTGAAGTGATCCCATGGCTTAGAAGTCACACATTCTTGCAACAGCAGAGATAAAACATTATGCTTGAACACCCCCCATCATTCCCACCTAGCATTTCCTGTGAAACCATGCTATAATCGCACAATTCGATCACAATCATATACATAGCATGTATCAAAAATCTTCTTCAATTGAGCATGGAGGGCAATGAGCTGCTTTTTTGTGGGGTTGTGTTTTAACGAAATAAATCAGTGTAAGACAGTTCAACCGAAAACTAGCTATACCCCCATTATTCCTGCCTAGCATTTCCTACGAAACCCATGCTATAATCACGCAATTCGATCACAATCACATGTATAGCATACATCAAGAAGCTTCTTCAATTGAGCATTGAGGGTAATGAGCTGTTTTTTGAGGTGTCGTGTTTAGATAGCTCGCAATAAATTAGTGTAAGACAGTTCAACCGAAAACTAGATCGTCTGAAAGAGTGTGTTAACAATAATATAGGGAAAGTCACAAGCATGCCTCTACCCTAGTTCAATCTCTGAAAAAGGAATACAAAGAACAATTTTCGCTCTCATTTACATACTTTTGCAAAGAAATGATCATATTAATCAACCTAAACACAATTAATTTTTATTTTATTTTCATACAGTTCTTTGTTATTGCCCCCAAAATTCCTCATTATTATTATAAAATTCAACAAGCTTAATAAGAAAGCAACAACATACTATGAAGTATTAATCAAATTAAAAATAACAATGCAAATAATCAAGGCTCCCAAAATACGAAGTTTAAACTAAAACAAAATAGAATTCGAAAGAATTAAGGGTGTTAAACGACGATTATATACCTAGCGAGTAACTGATTTCAATTTCTGGAAAAGTTTGATACTTCATTTCTCAATTTGGAGAAAGAGGAAGGACGCTCTCTTTCCTTCCTGTAAGTGGTTTTATTTTTTAATTTGGGACTGGCTTTGTTAACGAACCTTATTTCTGTTCGTTAGGCGGGTTAGAACGTAGAAGCCAAGAAGTGTGGACAGGCGTTCAGCAAGGGCGTATCGGATTTTAAAGTTGAGTCATAATTTCTCCGATTTTTTTTTAAATGCATTTTTTTTTCTTGACGAATTAAATGCATTATCTTGAATTTTGCGCTATTCACATACCATGTCTAACTTTATTTTCTTACTATCAAAGTAAACATTTTCATATACGAGTAATATATCATTAAGTTAGTCGCAATGTCTATTTTCATAATTTAATTTTGTTACCATTTTTTTAAAGATGTTAATGTCAATGTTACATCTTACCAATATGTCGGTCAAACTGATACATTAAAATAAAATAATAAATAAATAAAGCGAGGGATTATTAAATTATTATGTTCATAAGAGTTAAAATCTAAATCGAATTTTTTGGGGTTAATCGGGTCATTTTTTGACAACTCTAGGAATGTATGTTTGTCCAATCTCCTCCTATAATCTCACAAAAAACTTCTTATTAATTACATATTACATATCAAAATGCGTAATATGAACGAATTAATATTTATTTATTTTTTGGGTTGGTAAGGAGAAGGGCCCTACTGGACCGAAACCCCTCACAGGTCCTCCCGACCCGGATTAGCAGGCTAGTCACTTTGAAAGTGGAGGGAAAAGGTAAAGGAATCTCCACCCCAAAGTGCCTTCAGTGGGGATTGATCTTTCAATATCTTGGTTGTGAGATGCACACTTTCCAACTAGAAGGATAAAGAGATTCGAACACCTAACCTCTTATAAGAAGAATAATTATTTAGATTAGATATCAATTTTTCATAAGTCCTTTGTAGTCAAATTTAGATTGTTGCCAAAAAAAACTTAACAGGGGATACGAGGCGAGAATCTTTCTATCATGATGTCTCAAATTCCATCTGACTTTCATTTCATACATCAGAAAGTTCACTGTATACTATGATGCTAACAGGTCTAATTGGAGAAATCTTGAGCCATGTTACAGAAGGCGCGCATGATGTTACCAGCAACATCTAGCAACTGCAAATACTCGTCTGCTCCATCAACAAGACACTACAAAACATACCACATTAAGGTTACCATAATATATTAACATAAAGCACAAGGTAAATGCTCAAGATAAGGTGAAATTAAAATAAAGTATCATTCGACATTCAGAATTCCTTATCCACAAATTGAAACAAATGCTCATACATTACGAGTCAACCAAAAAGCCTGGGCTACAACATATCATCCCACCTCCTCAAATGTTGATTTTCTGGTTAATTTAGTTTTCAGTTAAGTTCTCTAATGTTAGTTCATACAGAAATACAGCTAGATAGCTCAAATTTCTGGATAATTTACTGAGTTAACATGCATTACAAGTTTACAACTAATATCTGAGAATGTTTCATCAAATCAGCAATAATCAGTCACTACTGCTTGTCCTACATTATTTTTTTCATCTGATTATTAATTAATTACAGATATATTTTCATGTACAATAGAATCTGCAAATCAGTTTTTTTTAATTTATTTTGGACAATATTGCCTCCAATTTCTATTGACCCCTGAGTTAAATTTTCTAAGACGTGTCCCTACTGCATATGAAAGGTTAAATCCAGCTGCTAGAAAGGAGCAGAAAAGGAATCCTACTACATTCAGATTTCAGATACAGGGGAAATGCAAATAGATTTCAGATTCAGAAGCAGAAGTTGGGAAGGCACACCGAATGAGAGTCCCACACAAAGGCCTGAACATATATGACATGAAACCGAGCCATTCCAGCAACAGAGAACTATATGCAAACTTACCTTGTCTGTTTCACCCAACTTTTTGAAAATCCTTGCCTTGTGCTCATCTGACAAATCATCAGCTTCCACGATGATATCAAATAACTGGAAAATCACACAATTTGAAGTTGCGTGTCATGGAAAACATTTAACAGACAAAGAAGTTGCAAAAGAAATTAAACAGTATGTAACCTGAGAGATCATCTGGGAAACTGGATAGCCTTCTGAGATGACATTATTCACTGCTTTGTCAGCCAAATCAAAGTTACCACTCTTGCAAGCAGCCAACAAATCCTGTACAACTTCCTCCGGTATGACCTTTCAACACAAAAGAGAATTATTTAGGCATGAAAAACAGTTAAAAATATGTTGTCTGGACCCAATGTAAGCATGCTGAATGTCCTGTAGAGTGTTGAGTAGAAAATATGATTCCAATTTTTTTTTTTTTTTTTAAAAAAAAAAAAAAACTATATTTCGATGCAGAAGAGAGAAGATGATCCTTCTTACTAAAAGAAATGGCAATTGACAAACTATTATTTTCAAACTCTGTTTCAAAATAAACGCCCCACTTTGATTGGACATATACGCCAATGCAAAGCTTTAACCAATATTATTTTTAATTATCAATAAGTATAAATTATAAAAAGTTGATATTAAAAGATTATCCATTGAGATGATTCTAGCAAGTACCCACATGACTATATTTTTTTCTTATGTAGGAGTAATCACTAACATTGGTCAAAGTGGATAATGTGAATAATGCAAAAAAGTCAAAATAGGGCATTTATCTTGAAACGGAGGGAGTAGATTTCATACTCTATGCAAAATTAGTATTAGGCTGTTATGGACCAATAATCTGACTTGGTATTTCTGATTTAATAATGTAAATGAGAAAAGATTAAAGCTTGATATTATATTAAACTTGCTAATGGTTTCTTACGAAAGGTAGTAGATTTAGCCTACAAATCTCAAATTAGTGACTTGAGGTCACAACTCTCAAAAAGATTCAATCCAATTTCTGCTTATCTTTTCTTTCCTCCTCTCTCTATTTACACTAAAGCTAAAGACTCTAACCCAATAATACTAGACTACCAATATTGCCCTTCCTTAGGTTAGTCTATTACATAGGCATGAGGGAAAGTTGGAATACAGTTGACTGATGAAGAGCTGCCATAATGCTACTAATTCAAGAAAAATATTATTGAAAGTTGGCATTTGTTTCAAGAAAGAGGGAATAAATGAGTAATTGAACTACTCAAAGTCTCAAAGAGTCATCTGCAGACTACAGCTGGTTGTACAAAACTAATCTATTCATTAATTTAACAGAAGCAGTAGCATGGAATGATGAAGTTTCAATAATAAATTCATCAAAGGGGAAAAAATATACTCCAGACAGCTTACCCCGGACACACTAATCAAGTCCTTGGAGGATATGGATGATCCATATAGGCGAGCAGCTCCCTGTCACATAGAAATTTAGTCAGTTAAAAGAAAGATTAGTCATCCCAATATATTAAGTTACTGAAATCTGCACTTGATTCCAACATCATTCTTACATAATTTAAGATTTATTGTACTAATGCTTATTTCTTTCAACAAGACATGCAGAAAAATTCTACTACACAATTTTGAGGGTTTTCACTTTTCAGCAAACAATTTTTTTTTGCTTTCTAGGCCCATTTCTCTACATCAAATATTTAAGCAACAAAATATGATTGCAAGTGCCACAAATGACCAATTCATTTATTCCCAGAGAGAGAAACCAAATGCTGCCAAAAAGGTGTCCTTTCAAGGGTAGTGTGGAGGTGGAGAGCCAGGATATATAGCAGCTGGAAGCTACAAAAAGTAATAACTATACCATCATATAAACAGGGAGCCAGCAACTCTCCGAACACAAAAAAGAATGAACATTGACCAAAAAATAAATAAAAGCTTTGCAAACTAAAAACCTTCAATAGCGTCACACTACCACTATAGCCCCTTGATAATCATCAGATTTTAATGTACTCCCAGTAGTCCACTTATCAAGCCAAATTACTTGGAAAAAATAAATTAAATAACATCAAACAGTACAAACTTTGCAGACAACAGAGGTGAAGACATTATAGGGTATTCCAAAAATTTAGGATCCAAGATTTGGCTCAGTAGCCTGTTTGGTAAAGACATAGAAATGTAAAACATAAAAATTGGAGAAGTGTAAGAAAATAATTAAAGACTCGCATTTGACTTTATGATGCTTGGCAGGTTATTGACCAATGCTTTTCCTAGATGTTCATAAAACATTGAAACGCTCAAAGAAAATCAAGGGTATTTTCAAGTTTTCTTTTCTGTTGAAGTTGCTGGGGCAAAACAAATAGCAAAAAGATCATGTTACCAAACATTGAGTCAGCAGCATACTTGGACGTTTCAATTCCAGGGTTGTGTGCATTTATGATACTTAGCAGGTCATATAAATTAATGACCAATGCTTTTCCCAGATGATCACTAAACAGAAAGTGAGAAGTGACATCCCTACAGCTTAAATTTCAGCTTAAGATGCTTACAACTTACAACATTAAGTGCTGCTAAAAGTTTCTGAAAAGTAAAATACCTTCTTTCTGACATTCTAGTAAAAGTTTGAGGGATTACATTAATAATTGGTTCAACATGATGCTAGTAGAACTGAGCTGCAAGGTAACACGAGTCTAGACAATATCATAACGCTTCTAAAGTTCCTTCTTTTTTATAGGGATTGGGTGCTAAGAAAATACTCGACTTATATTACTAAGAAAGTATTCCATACATATACTCCATGTATATTACTAAGATAATACTCCACGAGCTACAGCAAAAATTATTGTGCCTTAACCATCATGTATCTCTCTATAAATAAAAGCAGAAACAAATGTTACTTCAGTTGCAACACTTGTTCGTACGAATTGTACCACACATGACCCTCGTGCAACAAAAATATCTTCACTGAAAGAAACTTCACCCTCAAATGTTGGCTTCTTTCCTTTCACATACGCCACTATATGGCTGAATGAAATAGTTTCTACAAATTCTTTTTTCTCCACAACAAAAACACATCTCTAGAATTGAGCAACTGAAGCCAACTTAACTTGGTATATAGAATAGGAAAAGGTAAGACAAAGTACAACAAGTAGAGAGAACCCAAGGACAAAATGTAAGGTCATAACGCACACTTATAAATAAATACGGCTACAACCTGCTAAGCTGATAATTCTCAAGTGAATCCAATTATGATCTTGTCTTTAACAGTTGAGAAAGCAAAAAAGCATGCTCTGAGAGGGTATTCAACAATGATTCTGAAAACTTCTCATGAAATTTCATGAGGGGCATCCCATGAAAATTTTCAAATATCAAAGCATGGGTAAAAATTAAACAATTGATAACTAGTTTTGATCATGGATGATGGATGCAACAGCCTTCTATAAATTTCATGAGGGGCATCCCATGAAAATTTTCAAATATCAAAGCATGGGTAAAAATTAAACAATTGATAACTAGTTTTGATCATGGATAATGGATGCAACAGCCTTCTATAATTCTGTGTTAAGCAAACACACTTATTTACTAACTAAATTGCTTGAAGATCCCACTAAATAAAATTTGTGGAAGGAAGGGGATCACCTAAACACCATCCTTTCAAATCACCAAAAAATGCCCAAAAAATATGTTCCACATATGTGTAGCCACCTCATAATGCAAGAAAACACAAGTCCCCATCTTGCAACTTTTAATGCACAAAATAACATCAGGGAAACTACACCATTCAGCAAACTGTAACTAGTGTAGTAGTGTTCAGAGTCAGACTCTTTAAACAAGGTCACATAAAGGCTTCAACTATATTTGGAAGATTATACATAAAGAATGTGTCAAAAATGAGTTAAATGGAGAGACTTCCATAAGTGACTAGAGAGACTCCCAAATAGAAATCCAGACAAATCCAACAATCACATTAGAGAAGCATAAGACTTTCAACACATCCATAGTACTTCCTCTGTGCTTTTTTTTTTTTTTTTTTTTAAATCTTCTCAATAACTCTAGCGCAAGTGGATCCTTTAGGAAAGAGAAAGTTGGTAGAGACATTGGTATTATTATATAATAGTATAATGTGGACCATGGTGGTGTAAGGAGGGGTGTAAGGAGATTTTCCTTTGAAAAAAAAAATCTAAAATGCAAAGTAGGAAGCTTTTTAAAAATAAAAAAAAGTACTATCTTATTAGAAATCCAATAGATTAAGAGCTCAAGTGAAAATAAAGGAGAGAATAGACACTACTACTTCTATAATCCCAATGCATCTCCAAGGTCAACAATTCAGATGATCTAGAAGAAAGCTAAGTTAGCTAACACAGCAAGCACCACTGACCCATTTCCATAAATTAAAAACGGAACATTATCAAAAGATTTATGGTCCAACTTATACATGACGCCCTTATAACTCCAGCTAGGCAGCTAGAAATGTCATTGCTCATGCGTCATTATAGCAATGCAACATCAAAATATTGTTTATCGCTTCCACACTGTTGATGCTAGTATTAAGAATTTCATGATTCACACCACAAATGAGTGGAAAAAGATATACTCCCTCCATTCTTTTCTAGCTAACACGTTTCTTTTTTTACATTTGCCAATGCACAAGTTCAACGACTAGTATCTCAAATTATCAATAAGTAAAAGTTATAACAAAATTGATAAAATGAAAGTATACATTGAGACGTTCTAACAAGAGCGCACATGACTGATTTATCATGACTATAAATCACAACACCTAGCCAAAATAGAGTTTGTAAAATAGTGTCAAAAGTAAAAAAGTGTCCACCAAAAAAGAACAGAGGAAGTATGTAACAATATAATAGAGGAATTTAGAGAAATTTAATATTTGAGGTTATTATTCCAAGGAAGACATCTAAACTAGCAAAACAAGTCCCTTCCAAGAACCCTAAAAAATGCCTACAAGTCAATTTGATAGATCTCAGATTATTGGAGCTCTTCCTAATAACTAAAACCCCATCCTGCAACAATAGGAATCTAGAAGATGCATAAAGCATCAAAGCAAAGATGTCAAAAAGGTATACATTATGAGCATTGCTCTAGTACTATCCCCATTTGTGACTTCGAGTTATTTGCAAAGGATATACAATCAAGCTGGATATTTGCAATCTTATCTTGAGCAAGCCTTGGATATGTACTAATGATTCTTTTATAACCTTAATTTTATCCTGGAGATGGAAAGTGTTCTTAGTTGCAGCACCAGCACAGTATAAATCCATATCCACCAGCATAATGTTGTTTAAAGCCACTTCTACTTCTTAATTTTCAAGAGGGGATGAACAAGTAGTTTTGCCTTACCGTTTAATAAGTCAGACTGTCAGAGATTCAGAGTATATGTAATATGTTTCTATATCGATGAACCATAGATTCGAGATCACACCAAATTCTTTAGACACTGTTCTGTCCTTTACTTTTGTAATAATTAGGTTTCTCCCTGATAAATTTTCCTTGAATTAAAACACATTCACGGTAAAAAGGGCAAAATCTGGTTATTCTCCCTTTCATTTTTTTAAGGCAAGGAAAAGGACTTTTTTAGTGCAATATTTGCGGGTTAGACACTTTGAGGGTGAGGAAGGGTAAGGGATCACAAACCTCAAAGTGCCTCTAGGGGAGATTGAACCCCCAACCTCAAAGTTGGAAGGTGCAATGCTTCTCACTAGACCAAGCTTAGTTTGGTTCTAATTTCTAATCATGGGCAAAAACAAAATAGGTAATACCTTTATGGAAGTATTCTTCAAGAATCAAGATAATATAATTTCACACTGTTATTTTTACACTGACAATAAATATTATTTTAATTAGTAATGAAAGTTTCAAAGTTGAAAATTGCAGTGGACAGATTGGAGTATCATCTAAATAATCTAGGAAGTGTCCTACTCTCTTGTATTTCTGTTTGGTTTCTTCTATACATTAATGTGGACTAAGCTTTATTCAACTGTACAATGACATGCTAACAAGTAATAAGCATGTAACTAATTAAGAGTAAGCTTTAGATTTTCAAACACAAATATAACACATACCCGCACACACATGTGTAGACACATGCTCACTTAAAAGGGAGGATACGTGTCACGGTCCGGGAATTTGGGCCCCGAAACATGCGGCGCGCTCTAGCCTTTTGGCAGCAAGAACGCTAGCCTTGTGCGGAAGAGGGGCTTGTGAGCACAAAGCAACACAAGCGGGCAATTAAATCTCAAGAGCATTCGCGTCTATTCGGGCGACGGAGTGCGGGTGGTCAGGACTTGTGACGGCCGATACTTCAAGGAGGGCACAAGCGGGTCCGAACAACGAATTCTTAGTGCATCAAGTTGGTGAGGAGGGGAGCTATTATGCATGTAAGACACAATATCTATAAAGGTCTAACAACAAACAAGCATAAAAGCAAGGCAACACTTGGTAGAAGGATTTCATTCAATCATTCACCCTCTAAAGAGCTTTAATTAGTCATGCATAGAATCCCTAGTGAACACTGAACTGACAGAGCTTTAATTAGTAAGGCTAGCGTTCTTGCCGCCAAAAGGCTAGAGCGCGCCGCACGTTTCGGGGCCCAAAATCCCGGACCGTAACAATATGAAATATCACAAGACCTCATATAGATTGATGCATTAATAGCATGCACGTGTATTGACGTGTTGATTTATGTAAATGTAGGAAAAAGGTAAGCATTTCAATTTACCTGCAAGTATGTAATGGCCCGACGAAGATCACCTTGTGATATGGAACTCAAAGTAGTAAGTGCCTACATAAATCACAGATCCTATAATCAACATTGAGTAACGGATAAAGAAGTCAAACTACAAATTACAGGATACTGATAGATACCTGAGAATCCAGATTGATGCCTTCTTCTCCACATATATGCAAAATTCGACTTTTCATTATGCCTTCCGGAAGTGGTTTAAATCTAAACTTGGCACACCTTGAAGCCAGAGGCTCTATGATCCTGCAATCACCATAGAAGGATCTTGTTATTAAGTTCAAATAGTACAGAATCATTCACATGTATCCGCTCCCAACATCAGCTTAATAAGTAACATTTATAATCCTAAAAGTGAACCAGTGGACCACCGTTGCTCCCACCTAACTATCTTCATAAGCATCATGCACTAGTGCATATAGGCCCTTCCCTACAGGCTCTAGTAACTTTTCCTCACAAAGGCTTGGCTGCTTGGCTCTATAACTAATGTCAGAACTATAGTAGGCTTCTTCCTCCAGTCCCATCCAATAGAGGAGCTACTTCTTCTATGGAAATAGAAGCTAAAAAAGATTAGTTAGACTTAAATTCATTCGAGGTATGGTTAAGAACAGTGGAATTCTACTTTTCATCAGATACATGAATATGCTCTAACTTATTCTCCAATAGGATTGGTTCACGAAATAAGGAAGATAATTGAATAAACAATATAAACATATACTTCCTCTGTTCTTTTTTAGTTGACATCACTTTTAACACTATTCACATATACGAAGTATTACGTAGAATATTCATATGGGATCTTGTTAGATTTGTATTGTTGTATAGTTTTAAAATATTAACATGTTATGATGTTAACTTATTGACAATTAAAGACATTAATGGTTGAAGTTTTACATTCCAAAAGGTGATAAAATTAAAATGTCAACTAAAAAAAGAGCAGAGGAAATAATAAGATTGACGACCAAGAATCTCTAAATAAATAAAGAAAAAAAATGAAGTTGATTTTATGAATGAGCAACATGTTACATTTACGTCCATCAACCTTACAGGCTTACACACTAAAATATAAAACTTAACTATATAACATAAAAATTTATTCAGCTATAGACGATATAACCTATAATTAGGGTTCATTATTATTTAGCATTTAGGGGTCTTAGCACATAGGAAAAACAAAAAAATAACCTCTTCAGCTGTTTCTTACGATGTTATCCATTTACCTGCTTCGGTTAAAGAGTGCACTGGGGGAGATTATTAAATAACAAAGCCCACAAAATGCGGGGTTGGGGGGTGGGGGGCGAAAAATAATAAATAAATTCTCCATATTAAAAACAGCGAGCAGAAGAAACAAGTTAATAGACAGTGATGGGTAAACAGTTAAACATGCAGAAGCCTCTATTAGAGAGCACAGATGGAGGACTGGAGCATTAATCAGAGATGAGAAAAGATAGAATCTTATTCAGTCCATTCTTTTGAAGAAAATTCCAATATCTTGCAGCTTACCCTATAGAAACTAAAATTGCATAGTTGCATTAATAATATATGTATTCACTCATAATCTACATCCTGAGACCTCCTACACCAAAATGCCTATCTTAAAAACTATTAGCCAAGCCAAAGACAGAGCTACAACCAAATTTGGGGTACACTAATATGAAAGTTATGGGTCAGTCATGATGCAATATGAAACTGCAGTGAACCACTATTGAATTCCCACATACCAGAGAGGTATCGTGCAGTAAACAGATATAACTTATAGTACAAAGAGACTAATCTATGAAAAGCACACCTTGGGTTTGCCCAAATTGAGCCTGATATTATACACTACTTGAACCTCTACAGAAAATATAACTTATAGTACAAAGAGACTAATCTATGAAAAGTAAACGAGCAAAAAATGCAGCGAGATTTTACAGAAAATACCAGAACATATAACCATAATATGACACGAATAGACTTGACCCACCTGCTAATATAGTTACAGATGAAAAAGAATCTAGTAACTTTGGAGTAAGTTTCCATTGTTCGACGCAATGCATTCTGCACAGAACAATGATATTGAGTAACATCATGTAATAGGTTTATAAAATAATATAAATTTGAAAATCACACCTGAGCATCTTCTGTCATGGAATCTGCCTCGTCTAGAATGATAATTTTATAAGGTGGACAAGGATAACCCCTAAAATGTTTCAATTAGAAAATCAGGCATGTCTTAAAACATAAAAGTACGTAGATGACTACATGAGAGAGAGAGAGAGATAGAGAGAGTGCAACAAAATCAAGACATCCATTTAAGCTCATGGTCCAATTCTTTACCCCGCTCGTTGTGCAGAACCTACAGCAACAGCAGCAAAATTTTTTATTTTGGTACGAACAACATTGATGCCACGATCATCACTAGCATTCAACTCAAGCACCCTGGACTTGTAAAGTTCGGGCCTGTAAAATGCAAAGCAACATAATTCCAACTATTCAAGCAATCAACAGTGAAAACTCCAATTGGATATTAGAATTATATTCACAATGCTGCGCCTCTCATTTCAAACTAATCAATCTATCATCTTGTGATGATCAATAGACCGAAAGCATTGAACAACAATTTCCTGTATTCTATTCAAGTATCCTGGCCAGAGTTGTTCTTTTAGACTGGGAATTATCACCCTATAGTTTAATACGGAGTACAACATTGCAAAATAATGCTACTAAACTATCAAGTTGCCTTAACCATTTAACTTCCATGCCTAAAATGTTATTGGCGACTAGTCAATCCACATGCCAAAAAAAGTGAACACGACCTCAATCATGTTATTATTTATTTATTCTTACAGTAAAGAGGACCCTAACCCAACCTCAACTCTCACGGTTTTTTTGGTCCAATATTTTCAGGTTAGGCACTTGGGAGTAGAAGGGAGGGTAAGGGAACCCTACCCCCAAGCACACCAACTTAGTAAAATTCAAACCCTAGACCCCTAGGATCTAAGGTAAGTTCCTTATCAAGTGAGCCAACAATTTATTGATAGCTCAATCATGTTATACTTCAGCACTGATATGCCTAAACAAACTCTCCAATAATCTTTTAGCACATGCAACCGGTACTACTTCAAATAAATCACTCAAAAAGATAAAAATCTTAAAAATGAGAGCAAAAAAATCAACTTTAATATACATCTTAAATACTAAAACCTAAATAACTTCATTCACCCAATCATATAATAAAGTAATCAATTTTCCAACAATATTTTGTGAAATTCAGAAAAATACTCCATCATACCCAAAAAGCTGATGAGCAATGGCAAGAGCGGTGGTGGTTTTTCCGGTTCCAGGTGGACCATAGAATAGCATATGAGGACACTACAACAACCAAAAAAATGCCAAAAATTAATCAAAAAAATGGGAAATTAATTAATTATAGGGTTCATAGATATAGTGAACAAAATTCAGCAGCAAAAATTAAAAATTGAAATTGAAATTCGATTACATTGGTGGTTTCGAGGGTGTTGGTAAGAACTCGAATGACTTCATCTTGGTGTGCAACGTCCTTCACTTGCTTAGGCCGACTGAAATTAATTTACAGAAATACGAATTCAGAATTTGTATAAATTTGTAAAAAATGGAAGTAAAGAGAATAAAGTGGAGAAAATTTGCTTACTATTTTTCCACCCAAGGTTGAGAGCTCTGTATCAATGGCGCCATTCTCTTGTCTCTATGCAACTCTTTCTCTCTCCTTGCTCTCACCTTGACACCTTCCTTCTCTTTTCCCGCTTTTTTTGGAGCAATGAGTAAACTAGCAAACAAAAGGGAGGAGAAGATACCAATTACAAGTTCTCAAGACTTCAAGAGGGTTTTTAAATCTTTTCACAATCGTCATTGGGGTAAAATTGTCGTTTAAATACTTTTGGGGTTGGAGTACGTTAGATTAGGGGTGAGTATGGGACAGGTATCCATACCGTTAGTATTGACGATTCGGATAATCGATAACAAAGCGAACCGATAATTTTAGGTACTCGAACTGTTCGGGTATTCGGATTTTCGGATCGGTTATCGAATACCCAATAAGATATCCAATAATGATAATTAAACTTGATAATGTAGTTATTATGATATCATTTAACATTAATTAACAACAATACCACATGATCTTGACCAAATTATTTAATAATATTACTAATCATTGATATTATAAAATAATTGTGAAGTAAAGTAAGAGTTTAGATTTTGGAAAAATAGATTTAAGTAGGAAAAAAAACAAAAAATTGATTATTGAATCGGATCGGGTAATCGTTAATTTTAAAATAATACCCAATAATCATACCCGATAACAAATTATCGGAATGGGTACCCGAACCATTATAGTTATTGGATCGGGTACCCTAACTTTCGGAACGGTTACGGATTGGGTTTTCGGTTTTTCGGGTAGTTTTGCTCAGTCCTACGTTAAACGGACGTTTAAATGAATTTAATTCATTATTTTCTCTCTCCTCCAACAATAGAGCTTGGGAATTCTTCAACAATGGAGCTCTAAAAAATCAATGGATGAGGGAAAACACTTACCATTTGGGGATCATTAGCGGAGCTAGTCTAGGTCTTGGTAAGACAAGTGCCTTAAGACACTCCAAAAAATAAGTTTAAATTAGTTAAATAGAATACAAAACTCATATCAAGTTTCCAGCTACTAGTAGTTGGATGTTACAGCTTAAGTTAGCCTTTGAACAGATTTTGGCGGAAAATTTGGCTAGAAGAGTTTGCAAGCTGCTTTTGTCATTTTCCTAATTGTTAGGAATTAAGATGCTTTATTAATTTTGTTATTAGCTTGTGGTGGTAAGAAGAGCTAGCTAGCTATATAGCTTAATTACTTAATTAGTTATAATATTCTCATTATGAATTAATACACTAAACCTATTCCCTCTTTCTCTTCCCTTCTCTTCTCTCTCTATTCTGTTATCATCGTCTTCTTCTTTTCTCTTCTGGAATTAGTTGCAATAAGAAATCAGTTAAGGATTCCTCCCTTAACATTAGAGCTAGCATTGTTTTTTTACCAAAGGAATCATTCAATTCTTCCATCCAACAACTATTTTTTTATTATGTATATTATTATTGACACAAATAAGTCACACGTGTTAATTATTGTGGAATAGAAAGAGTATATATCAAGACAATTATTTAAGTCTTGTGCTAATATAAGTAGTAGTTCATCTAATAAAAAAAATAAAAAAATAATCACTTTTAAGACTTTGTTGCTATTTCACATTTCTCTTATATCATTTTTTAAATTTTATACATTAAAAACATATTTACATGTATATTTTATAACATCCGTCTTTTATTCTTTTTATATATAAAACTAGATGAAAGCCCGTGCGATGCACGGTTTTTTCATCTAAGAATTTTAATTATTTGATTTATTGTATTTAATAATCTCAGACAAAATTACAAAAGTTTAAATTTAATTTCTTTTTTTTTTACTGTAATTTCTTCTGTGAGCAGACGATTTGCTGCTCTTCTAGTTAGAAAAGTACTTAGACCTACCGGTAATAATACAACTTTATTCATTATAATTGAATTTATTAAATATAAATAAATTGTAAGTATGATATTTCATCCGTTAGTTAAAATCTTTAATGTGAAAAGATAAATTTTTAATTTTTTAAATAATTTAAATCCTAAATAATTATTCATTGTTAATGTTAGAAAAAATAAAATTGATACAAATTAAATCTTTACATTTATATAAAGTAAATCAATATATTTACTAATAAATGAAATTTTTAGTGAAATTGAACAAAAAATTTTAATTGTATAAAATCAAATCTATGCATTGGAATTTTTTCATCATCTCCAATAATAACGAAAGCCATCTATATAATAAGTATACAACATCATATCAAATCGTGTGCCATTTGCCTTAGCTTCTTCTTACAATTTTTAAAATTAATTTGAAATAGTTGCATTAAATATATGTATAAAAGCTAAAAAATTAACTTGAACATATAGTTGCATCAAATCGAGTACTTTACAAATTAATTTCAACCACATATGCTTGACAATGCTCAACATAAAATTTCTTAGTAACTGAACTAAGCTAGTCAACAATTAGCTAGCTTCCACATTGTTATATTTTGTCTACAATGTCGTGGAGAATATACATCCATTACATCTTTAATCAAAAGTAGTATGATATGAATTGCATCAATGAGATCAAGACCACTAATTGCAATTAAAATGCGGTCCATCCCTGTGTTTATTCATGCATGGAACTTTTATTAAATCAATATAATGACAATATAATGACAAAAATCAAGGTATTGGATTGGAACGATTGGAAAGTATTTAAAGAAGTAAACTTTTTCTTCAATCAATTTTGGATGAAAGTGTTGAACAAAGCTGGTGTTAATTGAGGCATGAACGTAATCACCCTATAATTAAAAATAAGAAATTAAGTTATTTTAATAACTTGATTAAGCCACTTAAATTACAAATTTTATTTATTTTTAATAAAATTAATTAATAAAAAAACTAAAGATGTTTATAAAAAAATATAATAAATGTAAATTAAACAATTTATAAAAAATAAAAATAAAATACCTCCTCTTCCATTAGGACCATATCCAAACTTTTAAGCTATGTTGTTTACAGAAATTTAGTACGTCAAATAGCGAGAAACTTGTATTTTGATTTTCCAATCATTTTTGCTCGAATTTAATTCTCTAATTAAATTAGATTTGCATGTAAAAATAAAATTCAGTAAACAAAACATAAACAGATAATCGTTAAGTATCCCAAATAAATACAATGTAAGTACTAATTACAAATATAAATTTAAACATAGGATTTTAAAAATTACCCGGACATTAATGACCTAAAACTAACATAAAATTACTAACACAGAATTCGCTTGATCGGGTTTTATATTGATACAAATTTTGTTGGTGTAGTATGATGCGTTAGATGTGCATGTAAAAACAAAATTTAGTAAATAAAACATAAAATATAATCATTAAGTATCCCAAATTAACACAATGTAAGTAATAATTACAAATACAAATTTAAATATAGGATTTTAGAAATTAAGCTAAAAATTACCCAACCATTGATGAACAAAAACTAACACAAAATTACTAACACAAAATTCACTTGATGGGGTTTTATATTGATACGAAATTTTGTTTGTGTCGTATCATATGTCAATTTATAATGGTAGGTATCACAAATTTTGATTTAATTATAATTAACGAACAATTTTTATTTCTTATCATAAATACTATTAAAATTTATCTTGTAATGGTAGGTATCAAACTTTATTATAATCATTTATCATTTGAATATTTTTTATTTATTTTATTGGGTTATCATGAAGTCATATTCTCATTCCCAAGTATATTTACATGTACTCATAAATTATCATATTATAGTTACGTATATTTCTATTTGAACCACCATATTTCTCCACCATATCATAAATTAAAAAAATTAATATTTGAACCCACCATATTTCTCCACCAAGTTTAGTTACGTGGAGATAATTTTCACCATATCATAAATTTTAAAAAAAAAAAAATAAATATTTGAACCCACCATATTTCTCCACCAAGTACAGTTACGTGGAGAAAATTTTTGAATAGTAGGATATTTTCATAATTTAAACCCAATTAAATATCTTTTTGGAGATTTATCTTTTCCTATATTTTTTTAGACTTCTTATACTCGTAGTATTCATTTAATGAATTTATCTTTTCCTATATTTTTACTTTATTTTTTTTCATTAAAATAATTTAATTGTGGATTATAATCTACGTAGCATTAAGATTTTAGATATATCAAATCTAATTCGTTACTTTTATCTAGGTGGCAACATAATTTTTTAATTCAAAAATAAAATACAAATCTTTTTTCTTATTGGTCGAAATAATACCTTTTCTTACGTGGCGCTCCAAATGCTCTCCAAAAATGCCTACTTTATTTATATATATTAGATTTTTATAATGTTATAAAAAGATAATTAAAGGGTATTTTAGAGGGAAAAAAATAATTTAAGTATAAATAATCAAAGTTTTGCATTAGCAAATGTGAAGCTCCAAATAGTGCAACTATATATGTAAATTTAAAATTAAAAAAAAAAAAAAAAAACCCTTATGGAGAGTGATTCCTTTTATTTCCCTACTTTTTCTTATCATGGCCAAAAGAGGTACGAAGTATTAATAATGTACAAACAGCCAAGTGCATTCATCATGAATCAACCAAATAGCTGAACCAAGTATCAGAAAATGACCAAGAAACCAATGATATACATAACAGAGCTCTAACAATGAGTCATAACAGATGGGCAAGTATAATAATTCTCCCAATCCTAAGAAGGGTAGATATAGTCCAATACTAGAAGTTATTGGCTACTCCCCCCTCCCTCTTTTCCAAAACCCTCGCCTTTTGACTAAGAAATGAAACGAAGCTGGAGTTTTTCATTTCATGTTTCAGCACAGTTGCTGCAATCACCATTTCAAATGCTGAAGCTCAATTCTATGAATGTGAAGCTGCTGTTCCTGGTCATGTGTACAATACGTGCAATAACAGTATAGCAACCTCCGTTAAGCATCTTGGTTATCCACCCTCTCTTCCCTGTCAACGTAAGAGGAATATCGGTGACTAGCAGTTGTGTGCCACAATAGTCTTTATCTTCAAGTATTTTCTTGTACTGTGTAACTACTGGTAGAGACAGAAGCGGCATCTGGCAAGAAAAGCATCAGAAACTTCTTTCATAATATGGGAAGTTTGAATTGATGCCATCATCTTCTTTGAACATTTGCTTGCTTAAAAACTCGGTACTTCCTTGTTCTCCATGAACTTCAATTCCAACCTGTTGGACT